GGGGGGTGGCCACGCCGCAATCCCTTCTCCTCCATTCTCCTCTCGGGATTTTGGGCACACACTCACACGCGCCCAGTGTGAGTTTTAAGCCACTGGGTCTGGGACTCAAACCGCGATTGACAACGTGGGAGTCCAGAGACATAGCCAAGATGCTAACTGCTGGTCCCAGGCAAAAACCTCTTCAAAAAAAAAAAAAACATAAAAAGAGGACCGGCAGTTAGCATACTGGCCATGTCACTGGACTCCTATGTAGTTGACCACAGTTTGAGTCCTGAACCTAGTGGCGCATGTGCGTGTGTGCCCAAGATCCCAAGAGGAGAATGGAGGAGAAGGGATTGCGGCGTGGCCATCCCCTCTTGGGGGGTAATTTCTCACTTTCTATCTCTCTGTCTCTCTCTGGTGAGCGCACCTGCCCTATAGCAAAAAACTCTCCAAAAAAAGAAAAAAAAAAAAACATAAAAAGATTAGAAAGTAAAGCAAAACAAAAATACTTAAACTAGTAATAGTAATAGTCACGGCTATCATTTATTGAGTCCTTACTGTCTATCTGGTTACTAACTGTACCATGTACTTTACATGCATCATTTCATTGAATCCTCTCACTATGACATTCACTGGGTCATCCTACAAAAAGTGACTGAGGACCCATTATAGGGCATTATTCCAGTCTGGGAATATAACAGCAAAGAGCGTAGGCAAAGCCTCTGCATCAGAAAGCTATACATTAAAGAAAGGTAGTCATCCCACCAGGTAGGTAGTACCATTACCCACATTTTACAGAAGAATGAACACATGCACAGGTTAGATACTTCCCTACGACCCCAAAGCTAATATTTGGAAGGGCTGGAGTCTAAATTCTAGTCCAGGATTTCTCAGTCTCAGCACTACTGGGATTTTGAGCCGCATAATGCTTACATTAGGAGTTGGTTCTGCACTCTACACGCTAAGATGCACTACATTGTAACAACTCAAAAAAACCTCCAGACAGCAATGGAATGTCCCATAGGAGACAATGTTCCTTTAGTTGAGAACCACTAGACTGACATCATAGTCCAAGCTCTTAAAATCACTTTCTGGGCCAGCAGGTGGTGCAGAGGTTAGTGGCTGGATCTCATATGGCTCACTGTGTGGTTCGAGTCCTGGACCCAGTAGCTTGAAAAACACACCAGGCATGCGTGCGTGCATGCCCAAATTCCTGAGAGGATAATGCAGAAGAAACCGCAGCATACCCATTTGCCCTTGGGGCATGATTTCTGGGGGGATTTCTCTCTTTCTCTCTCTCTCTGAGTGAGTGCACACACCCTATAACAAAACAAACAAAAACTATCTTCCTTTCCATACCTGACAGTGCCTTGGTTCAGGTGCCAAATTCAGTTCACCAAAGACCTTATCAACAGTCTGTCTACACCAGGCTTCCACTCTCACCTCTGTCATTTCAGGAGTCAAACCTAGACCAAAATTAATGTCCTAAACCTTTAGAGCCCAGGTGAATGTCTGTGGAAAATGCCCTAAAAGCATGGGAAATTATCATAAATATTTTGTACATATTGTATAGATCTTTATATATAAGCATAGCCATTTTATATTTCAGTGTCTGTTTTCCCAACTAATACATGAGTTTTCCCCATTGGGGCCCTACCTCAATGATGTCTATATAACCTAGAACCAAGAATTAGAAAGCATTCAAATGTTTCTTAAGCAGATTACATATATCATCAAAATGCCTAGATCTAGTGGCTTTATTTTTATTTTTATAAAGAATTACTTATCTTTAAGCTTTATTTATTTATGTTTTTAATGTGACCAGAGAGGGACAGAGTGAGAGAGAGAAAAGAGAGGGAAAGTGAGAAAACAAGCTACCAGGTACAAGACTCACACCACGGTCAGCCATGTGGGAGTCCAGAGCCCTTAACCACCATGCCACCTGCCAATTCCTCCATTTGCTCTAAATATGCAACCAATAAAAAACAAAAAAGTCCCTAAGCAAGGCAAGGTGGCATGCACCTGTATTTCAAGGATAGCTTGGAGAATATACCAAGACCCTATCCCTAAAATAAACAAACAAAACACTCAAAACACTCCCCACATCATACAGTAAAGCTTTAATCAATGTAAATCCTACCTAAACAAATAGGTCTTATCCTTAATAGGACCTGAACAGATTCTCTAATTCAACCCAGTATTAACAGACACATCGAATGCTTCAGAACTTTCCAAAACTACATAGAGATCAGGTTTCCTAATCGTTAATCTCTTGTACAATTTATCAGAAGCATTAAATCACATTACTTTGGACCACCAAAACCCCATCTCTTATTAACTCCTCTTGCCATCAATTCATTTATTGGTTCAAGTTTATTGAGCTCCCACTCAGTACCAGAGGTACAAAAATGAACTAAGGAAGTAAGTTTTAGTGTTGGGAAAAATAAACACAAAGAAATGGACCGGCAGGCAGCGTGGTAGTTAAGGAAGCTGGACTCCCACATGGCTGACCATGGTTCGATTCCCAGACATGGTGGCTTGCTTTCTCACTTTCTCTCTGTGTCCCTCTCTGATCAAATTAAAATTAATTTTTAAAAAAAATGACTTAAAATCAACTATCCAAAACAAAAATCATACATTTGGCAACTGTTCAGTTTTTAGTAGTAGTCTTTTCTTTTTAATTTGCTCAAATGTGTATGTACTCACCAGAGAGAGAGAGACAGAGAGAGAGAGAAAGTGAGACAGCATCCCCAAAGGGGGATGGCCACACAGCAATCCTTACTCTTCCATTCTCCTCTTAGAATTTTGGGCATGTACACATACATGTCCTCAGTGTTTTTCAGGCCACCAGGTCCCAGATTCAAGTTGTGCAGGTATCCACGTGGGATCCAGTCACCTTAATCACCATGCCACTGTCTGGCCCCCAACAATAATTTTATTTAATTCAATATAACTATTATTTTACTATGTAATCAATGTAAAAAAACTAGTAATATCAAATTTGCTGTGCATTTTTTTATACTAAAACTTGAAATCTAGTATTCTATACATATCATATTTCAGGCATTAAATGTTCACTGAAAATATTTTTTTTTTTTTTTGGAGAGATTTTCACTGTAGGGCGCGTGCGCTCGCCCAGACAGACAGAGAGAGACATAGAGACAGAAAGCGAGAAATCACCCCCCAGGGGGGATGGTCACACCGCAATCCCTTCTCCTCCATTCTCCTCTCGGGATCTTGGGCGGGCACGCACGCACACGTGCCCGGCGTGAGTTTTAAGCCACCAGGTCCGGGACACGAACCGCGGTCGACTACGTGGGAGTCCAGCGACATAGCCATTACGCTAACTGCTGGTTCCCTTCACTGAAAATATTTGATGTGCATCTAGATTTCAAAAAATTTGAAAAGGAATTCACACACCCAGTTGACTAAAACTATTGATACATATTTAAACGTTTGTTAATAAGTGGGACAAGTAGTTGGTGTAATGACTATGTCGCTGGACTCCCATGTAATCGACCTCAGTTCGAGTCCCGGACCCGTGGCTTAAACTCACGCCAGGCGTGTGTGTGTGCACGTGCCCAGGATCCTGAGAGGAGAATGGAGGAAAAGGGATTATAGCATGGCCATCCCCCTGGGGGGTGATTTCTCACTTTCTGTCTGTCTCTGTCTTGCTGGAGAACACATGTACCGTATAGCAAAAACCTCTCAAAAAAAAAAAAAAAAAAAAAGTTTATTAAGTGATCACCACCAAGTCGCATGGTGGTTAAGAGCGCTGGACTCCCACATGGTCGATACCAGTTTGAGTCCCGGATCGGATCTAGTGGCGTGCTGTCTCACTCTCTCTCTCTCACTCTGTCCCTCTTTAGTCAAATTAAAATAAATAAGGTTAACTAATTCTTTTAAAAAATAAGTGATCAAATACAGTATGTATCAGTTTGTAAATTTAATTACAATTAAATACAATTTTCAGTTCTTCAGTCATGCTAGCCAGAGTCTGGATATTCAAAGGCTACATATGGCTACCATATTGGACAGTACAAGCCTAGAGGATGGTCAAGTTTGCCAAGTGGCATTTTCCCCCTCAGCACATCATTTCCACCTAGTAGAGGTTTTCTGTGTATTAACAAGGGTAACCTGACAAGCAGTAGCTATGTAAGTAGTCCCACTGGTCACATCCTCACTACTGTAGCTTACTTTCTCTAGGCCAAGGCCAATCTCTTGAAAAACGAATCTTTTAATGACTACACAGAATTGCTACGGAGTACCTGACACATGGAATGTGCTCAAAATGTTTGTGGAATGAGCATATCCTTTTCACCGTTACTCAAGGAATAACTCATTTGACGGTGCCCTATTTAAGCCCTTTATTTCTATTTCTTTTCCTAAGGTTCAAGCATTTCAGTGTATCGACTCTTATGTACAATGATAAAAAAGATAAAGCAGTAAGGAAACCTATTTCCAACCGGACATTTACTAAATGTATATTGGTTAAGAGCTTAAGCTCCAGAGTCAAATTGCTTGTGTTCAAATCCTGGTTCTATCATTTATTAGGAGTGTGATCTTGGCTAAATACTTGGTCGTTCTGTGCCTCCGCTCTCTGTTCTACAAGATAGTGATGATTCTACATACTCTCTTGGGGAACTTCAAGAATTACAGGAGATGGCAGACATAAAGCAAGCACTTGCACATAGTTCTTGGCACACAGATGTTCAATAAACATCAGCTTTTCAAACAGTAGAGAACTTGAAATTATGGCTAAAAAAAAAAACAAAAAAACAAACAGGATTTCTCAATCATCCATGTCTCACACACACACACACACACACACACACACACACACGAGTGCAGAGGTAGTAATCTGATGTCCTCAAAGGAAAAATCTTGGATGTAGTTACAGTCATTAAAGAAAGCTAAATGAGAAACTTCATCTACCGACGGAGTACAATTATGCAGCATGGCACAGGTGCAGCCAAGCAAACAGAAAAACGCAAAGCAAAACAGGACGACTGCCTTACCTGCTTTTACGTTTTCGAGGTGGTCTCTCCACTGTGCCAGTCAGTCTACAGACCAAACAAATGACAGTCACTGGAAGTCACATACGAGAACACGTCTCCGAGCCCTACTGTGCCCGGCAGGAACTAAACGTGCTACCTCAGGGACCACAGGTTCGCCAAGACCACACCTGACCTTCCGACCGCGGTATGCCGCTTCCCCTATTTACCAAGACCAAGCAGTCCTGGGACTCGGTGTTCCCCAAACCCGAACCCTGCTCCCTCGCCCATCCTAAGTCCCTATTCGTCACAGCCCAGCTCCCCAAAACCACCCACCTCCACCGACTCATTGTCTGCCTCGTCACCCCGCCAGCCCCCCAGCC